GGGGGGGGGGGGGGAGGGAGGCTCCATGACGCGTGATCCTCGATTCGCCGTGACGGTTCGCTCCGCAGTAAGGTATGATTGTCTTTCGTTACGAAACGTCCGTCTCCGCCTCTCGCCGTTCGTTTTCCTCCGTGTGGTCCGTCTTCCCCCTGTTCTCTCCGCTCGTGCCAGCACAGTCGTCTCGACTAGGCAGGACCTACACCGGTCGCAGGAGGAACAGCAACGTGACTACCAACAGAGGTAGCGAGGCTGTCGCGAGGCTGGCGTGGCCTTGAACTGGAACACAAATAAATGAGAAGAAAGTTTTAGAGGGAGAGCTTGCCCGTTCGTTCTTCTGTCTCCATCGAGTCGGGGGTGGAGGGCGAGGGGGAGGAGGAAGGGGAGAGAGATGCCGCGTCATTGGAATATCCGAGAACCGACAGCTCGTGGTTTATCGCGATGTTGCAGGCATTACCCGATAATTTATCTCTTTGTCGCTCGGAGGAGGATTATCGCGCGAGCGAACGCATTGCTGCTCTCGCGTCACACCCACGCGCGCATCGCGCGTAATAATAATTCCCCTTTCTCTGTCACCGTCATATATAAGTCCTTTGAATATTTCGCCGCTGTTTCTTTCACGGACAATTGACTTCTCGTCTCGCGGCAGAAAGATTGCGGTTATAGCGCGAGTGACAGCGCGTTGTTAATCATGACATTGAGTTGTTATCTCGATCGCCCGGGAGCGAGGTTGGAAGCTCGAGGATCGACACGACGGACGGGAAAATTCAGCGCGATATTTATTTAATAAATTAAAGGGATAAGGGGGATTTGCGCGCGGTGAGGTGAAAGCTGATGCGTAACGGCTAATTGCCGGCCGTGGATTTCTTCCGGACGGATCCCGGAATATGTCAGGCGCTCGTATTCACCTCCATAGCGAGCGCGAGCGTTTCGAGATAACTCGGTGAGCTGGTTTCCTTCGGAACAGCGGCAGTTTGGCCGGAAACGTGTAACTTTCAGGTATGTCTCGTAACGAGATGAACGACTCGGCAAACGTTCTCTTTATTCTTACACCGTTCTGCTATGCATTCTTAATACCGATAACTTCCCCGTGCCGACTCGCCTCTCAACATCTTTTAACGGAAAAATTGCGCATAGAAGTTTGTCGGGGTATTGTCGAGATAACGAGTCAGTATTCGGTGCCATGCATGGCGAATTGCACCATTATTATCCGCTATTTTTATTGTTGCATTTCTGTAGATCTATACAAGTTCGTGTTCGTGTTGTGAAATCGACCCACATGGAAACATATCATTCCACCGCTAAGAAAAGCGACTACTCTTTTTTTTTCTTATACATGATTATTCTCAATAATATAAATAACGAAAATACGAAAAATTACTACACAATTAACGATAATATTGATCGTGGGTGGAGATCATGTTGTGTTTTGTCCGAATAATTATTGAATATTGCTTACATTGTTAATGCAAGTGAGTGTGGCGTACGCCATGAATGCGTCGTTTATAGCGAGGGACCGCTGTCTCTCGGAGCGACGTAATTGTTCTCGCGGTATAAATAGATTCTCGAATTTCAATGAGCTCCGGAGGCTACGTTTTCGCTTCTTCTCGGACGCATTAAATATATCGTGATCGTGGCAAAAATGTCACGAAATAATCCGATAGCGGCCTCGCCGCGGGCTAGTTCGCGGCAAAAAAACGAGACGGGAGTCTGGCGCACTCTCGCTACGTCAGAAAATAGCGAAATCGCGGGTGTGTGACAACTTGACCGTCATACATCGCATGCAAAGCGAAACAATGTAGCCGCCATTCAGGCGGTGTAAACATGCAGACAATACCAGTCATCCATATGACATAACTCGAGGGTCCTATTGAGCCACTGAAAATCGTCTAACCACTCGATACAGTTTTTCCGAGTTATTCCACGGTCTTTCTCTTTTTGCCGGGAACGAACGAACGAACGAACGTGCGCGGTATTTCTGCCGCGTGCGTGCGCGCGCGCGCGCGCGCGCGCTTCGAAAGGAACGGCATTCAACTCATTCCGGAAATATAAAGAGAAATACAATATCAGCCGCCGATATGACATAACCCAGCCGGAGCTATTGTCGGCTGCCCATACTCGCTACGTTTCGGTATTCTTTCTGAAAAGAATAAAATTACGCGCGTATATAGTGTTGTTTCTCCCCGCGTGCATTCTGGACGAAACGCTCCGAAGGAGAAGTACACAAGTACGATGGTAGCTAACCCGTCTCTACGTTCCCTCGTATCCTTGTCGCGATTTTTGTGAAAAACAATAGAGGAGAACAAGCCGCACACACATACACGCACACCTCACATCCAGACGAACTTTCATTTAAATTCTATCTCATTTTCAGTTCTCGTCCATTGTCGCCGTTTATCATATTATTTCATCTGTTATATTTTCTTATACATATACCGTTTTAATCAATTATTTCCTCGGCGCGAGTTTAATCGTCATACGCCAGCAACAGCCAAGCTGCCGCTAAACAATTTATTGCTGATGCCTGATTAAATTTGTACCGGACGAACGATTAACGGGGTCGCGCGGAGAGAAACAGTGGCGACCACACTTGCGCGATTTGTCGGCCTCATTTTTTTTATAGAGTGTATTACACACACCGCGACTGAAGAATGGGCGATATAAAAATTACTCCCGGCGATTACGTCAAATCCCCGGCTTCATAATTAATCTTTGCGTCGACGGTGTTCGGAACGCGTGTGTAGAACTTGTTAAATATTGGATGGGACTCATTATGGCGAAGGAGCGTGTGTAACTTTCTCATCGAATTGTGTGTCTTTTGTGCGAAGGTCCGTCTTGTGCGCGGTCGTGAATTAATCAACTCATTCGTCTCGCGCGCAGTAAGTGCGCTGTCATTCTCTTTCGCGCGAACGTGCGTTAACAACGTAATAAAAAGTGTAAGAGCAAAATCACGAAGAGATCCGAAGACGACGCGTTTAACTCGTGCCGTTTGGCTAATATGCATTAAAGCTGGCCGAGTCGGATTGGCGGGATTGACGACGCCGTGACCGAGTTAAGGCCACGACCGGGTTAAGGAAGCAGGAACGAGGTAGGGATAATTCGAGAAGTCGCGCGACGGTGGAGGCAGCCGAGGGAGAAGGCGGACAAGAAAGAGGAAAGAAGGAAAAAAACGAGAGAGAGAGAGAGAGAGAGAGAGAGAGAGAGAGTCGTTTGGAGGTGGTCGTTGATAGAAAGAAAACTGATAGTTGGCGGAGGGGTGGCAGGCTGAGCTGTACAGGTGGATGGCTCGACGGTAAATGCAGGAGGCGTAGCGACGCCGCGTAGGGCGCTTCCAGGAACGATTCCGCCTAACGAGAAAATCGAAGATCGTTAAGAGCAATTTCTTCGAGTCGTTCGACGTCTTTTCCGGTTTGCCTTGCCTCTTTTTACCTGTCCTCTCTTCCCCTGCTCGCGTACGCCCGGCGTGACTCCATCGTCCGACATTGGCCGTCTCGTTTGTTCGTTTTCTCTTCCCCCCTCGCGCTCTCTCCCCCGTTCATTCTCTCTCTCTCTCTCTCTCTCTCTTCCTCTCTCTTCGCTTCTTTCTCGCCCGCGCACGGAAGCTCTCTAGCCCCGCGTGTTCGTTGCCCCCTTCGCGTTTGTTTCTTTTACCTTTTTACCTCACCGTGTCGTGCAACGCTCAGCTCGCGGTGCGCGCCCGGTCGATATTCGGAGGCCCACTTATGCAATTAGGCCGAGTACCATTCGGCGGAGTATCCAGCGACGATAAAAGCACGCGGACTCCTCCTCGCGTTTCGTTCGCGCTCATAATGGCCATTCTCGATAATTTCCAAACGCGTGCGGTAAGTGGTGGGTTATGATTACGACAGGCGTTACAACGCCGGTGGATTATCGTGCGGGCTGCCCATTATCTGAGTGCACTCGCGAATTATTTGCGGATTAAAAGATGGCGGGAGGGGGTGAGCGTCTCTCTTTTTCCGCTGCGTGCGCGCAAGAGCTCGTTACCGCGCTAATCGTCCGACATTAATCCCCGAAATTGAATAAGTCTGGGCGGACGGGCTGAAACATTCTCGTCGCGGTGAGATTTTGCTCGAATCCCCCCTCGAGCTCGCCCCTCCTCCCTCGCCAATGTCGTTGGCCAACAATGGAGGGGATCGGGCGAACTTATGACTCGATATTTCCAGACGCGCGGCCAGACGGGGCGTATAACGGCAAAACATTGCGCGCTCTCGCGCGCCAACTAGGCCGCGTTTGTATGCACCGAAATGTTTGTCGCTTACAATGGCGTAGTTATACCGCGGAGCTAGTCAAATGTCGCGTATTATATGCATTGTAATTCCCTTGCGCCCACGGGGATTTGTATTGCGCGCGGCGTGTGACGCGACGGCGTGCGGCTAACGCGCATTTGATTATTCTCGTTGCTCTCGCATTCGCGACGCATGAATCGTTACGCGTGTACCGTACGTACGTCACGGCGTGGCGCGCCGCGGCGCCGCGGCGCATTCTCAAAAATCGCGTCGCGGTCCGATCGAAAATTACGTTTACGTTTCTAACACGGCCGCTGGCAATCGCCGTCGCATTGTTGCCAAGAAATGCCATTTTCACTGGCTGCTGCCCCCTCCTTCTCCCCGGTAAATTTGACGACGACGTGTTGCTAACGCGATGTAATCCCGCATAGAAAATACTTTAGGACTTAATTGGGATCCAGTCCCAATAATAAAATAATAATAAAATAGATTCTGGATAGGAAATCTATGCAGGTTCCGGTTAGAAGTGTAATGTTTTAAACATGCGAATCTAAGTGGGAAATCACAATAACACAGATCCCATTTGGTCATCTCGAACTTTTGACCCTGAATATTAAATCCTGAATTCTCCAACGGAGTAGGAACTAAGTTAGTAAAGTAGGTTTAATTCTAACGATACGATTTATTTCTACTCTGGTTTTAATGATATCCAAAATTTCCCTTTTAACTTCCTTTAGCATCAAAATAGGATGTATTATAGACTTCATATCGAAGTAGATGTTGAATAGAATAGTAAGACTGAAAATAGAATTTAAATTTCGACTCGAATAAATTAAATAGAAGACGTAGATTTTAGAGTGTCAAAATAGGCGTTGAATGGAATAATAAGACTAAAAGTAGAAAGAGAGAAAGAATCAAGATTTCGACTCAGGATCCCTAACGTTTTTCCAAAAATTTTTCCTAATTTTTACATTTTAAACTAAAATCGAGCAAAATATATGAAACATCTTGAATATTTATTCGTTACAAGTA